TTCCACCAAAGGTATTATTATAAAAAAACTAAATCAATGCTTAATAATAACACGGACCACTCACCGTTTTTATGGAATGCATTCTCAGGTGAGGCTGTGTCTGGAGAAGACTGGCCCTCCATCATCCATTTAAAGCGAGACTGCTGACTCCCGATGTCCTTCATGCTACCAGGACCACCCACGACAGATCCACCCAGATCCAAACCTGTAAGATTCACTCCAGAACCAAAACCTATGAAAACAGTGCGAATGAAATAATGAGTAAATTAAATTAAAGCTCCACTCAAGCTCTGCATGGGATGCAATACTATTATGTTTTTTCTTAGGACAATGACAGCATCATTATTTAAATTGACGTCCCATATAAGACTTCTCTTAAAATGAATCTAATTTATGCTATAAAAAATGTGTTTATATAAAAAGGCAAACTGGTAACAATGACTCACCAGAGTATGGTCCCAGGTTTTTCTGGTGTAGGTCAGCCACTGTTGCCGACAGTCCTGGGTGAGGCAGGGAATCGGACATGGGAAGTTTAGGACCACCAATACTACCTCCAGGGTGGTGGGAGGGGGAGAGTTTGGAGCTACCACCTAATCCTCCAACCTGCTGCTGCTGCCTCTGCTGCTGGAGCACTGCCATGATCCTGGCCAACTGAAGAGATGTGATAGAGGTATTTATTTTGACTTAGCAGTTGAGTTGATGCAGGACAAGCTTGTTTGTGTGAGTGTGTTGTACTGCTGTACCTGCTGAGGGTCAGCCTGTTGCCGTACATTGGGTGTGAATTTCCTCTGGTTTTGCAGAAGCTGCTGTTGTTGCTGTTGTGGCTGCTGCTGCTGCTGGAGGAGGAGCTGACAAGCCTGAACAAACACACAATGAAATAATTGGGATGAAAGATTGTGATTTTCCATTTCCATCCAGTGATTTTCAAGATCAGATCAACTGTTTTTCTAGTTTCATAGGAGCAGAAGAGGTGCTGCAGGGAAATTATAAATTGTTTGGTTGATTAAACCATTTTATATTTAAAAATAGTTACATCGAGGGCAACTGGACGGAGTAGGTTTCTTGAAGACGTTTTACGTCCCATCCAAGAGGCTTTACAGTTCTGGGCAGAACTGAAGTCTCTTGGATGAGAATTAAGACGTCTTCAAGAAACCTACTCCGTCCAGTTGCCCTCGATGTAACTATTTTTGGATAAGATGAGCTGGATGACTGAGAACCTAAACAGACTGTTCTTCTTCTGTATATACTGTTCTTCCACAAACTTGAAAGTAGAAGAAATTATATTTTCCTCCAGTGGTTCCCAAACGTTTTCTGCAGTCTGCAGTCTGCATTAGGTATGTCAAAGGTGTAACTTTTTTTATTTTTCTCTGCATCTTCTTACCAGTTGAAACTGTATGTGTGGCGGGTAGATACTGCTGAGCATGGCGATGTGCTGCGGAGACAGCTGCGGAGGGAACACACCTCCCCCGACGCCTGTCACTCCTCCCATGCTGCCAACACCCCCCATACTCCCACTGGGAGGGGGCATCTGCTTCAGCACAGAACCTGGCACCTGGTGACCATCGTGGTGGGAAACAGACACACAACTGTTACCACAGAAACCCTCTGCTGTTATCTCTAATAACCCCATTAGTCTGGTGTTTCTCTCCAATCAAATCTATTTCATGTGCTCATCAGCTGGAGGTTAACAGGTAGCTCGACCCCAAGACAGGGAGTCAATAAATAGAGAAATACATTTTGTACTTTTCAAAGCAGAAATAAATACTGATCTTAAATAAATACTTTTTTTGCAAAAACTTATTTTCAGTTACTCCTTGGAACTGTTTTCCTTTTAGCTCTATGTTTTGGTAACATTTTGTTTTTTACCTCTGACCTTTTAGGGGTTAATTGTTTTTTTTAAGTGAACCTTTTCACTACATTTGTTACATTAAAAAACATCAGCTCTTGGACAAACTAATAAAGCGATTCAGTTTTATTCCATTATTTCCAGTCTTTTTAGGTGTTAAAAATGTATCATAATTATAAAAAAAAAGGTAATTATTATGAAGGTACAGGAAAGGTTCTGAACCTGGGGTGACAGAAACTGATGAGGCACTTGCGCTCGTATCCCTGGGGACTGGTTAATGGGGGGCACATTTGGCTGGTGTCTTGACTGAGCCATCCCTCCACCGCTGCCAAAGATGCTGTGACCACCCTTTGATTCAAGATAAATAATAAAGCTCAGAAAATGAAATTAACATTCATTTTGGGGCATATATTTCACAATTCCACAGAGGAATTCTCATATAAAGATGGTAGGACAGAAACAAAAGGAGCGATTATCTTACTTGTCTAAAAGGGATAGTGTGGTTGAAGAGGGAATGGGGCTTGTAGACAGTGGGTGGTGAGTACAGAGAGCAAGGACCCTCCTCCTCAAGGCACCCATCTTGATTGGTCAAAGGCAAGGTCTGTCACAGAGACAGCCATTGGAAGACCAATTTAGGAGGTGGTAAAGGAGGGGTAGGGAAGAGGGTGAGGCAAGAAGAAATGGGATAGACAAGGAAGAGGAAGGCGAAATCACAAAAGGAAAAAGAGGATTGTGATAAAAGACTACAAAGTTATATAGACATGAAAAGGACCCGAGAGACAAGGCTGCTATTGTTCCAGTGGGATTCTACCTTATCATAGTAAGAGCCAGCATCCCCAGGTGCTGTCTCTTTAGAACCAGGTGGACGATATGCCATTCCGCTGGCACCTCCTCCTCCTGCTGCTCCTCTTCCTCCCTTTCGCATGTCACCATTATAATCATTAATTCCCATGCCTCTTTTCTCTGCCTCTAACTTCTTCTCCTGAAGACAGCCTGGAGCCAGGTCCATGTGTGTGCCACTGGGATCATCGTTCTAGAGAGTAGAGGAAATTGTTACAGGATTTAGTGTCTGCTCATGTCTGTATAAAGTTCGGAAGAGATAACGCCACAATAGCCAACATTTCCCGCTTTTGTGGGAATATTGACAGTATTTCTGGCTCACCAGCAGTCCCATGTTAGAGAACTGTCTGTTTATGGGGCCGATCCATGAGTCTCCTCCACCAGCTTTCAGTGGGCCCTGAGAAAATATACAAGCAGAAACAATTATAATTCAAAAAGAGCTCCAAGGTAAGTACGCAATTCAAACATTTCATTGCAATATAATGTAACTATTGTCCAGAATTATTTCCAGAATAGGAAGAGGATTTACCAACTTAAAAGATATTGTAGCATGTTAGTATAAAAGGAGCATTTCCCAGTAAATTCAAGCTGCATTTTGTCGTTAGTTATAACTATAGTTTTAAACTACATGGTGTTAAACTGCATCACACCTTGTTGTTGGGCTTCTTTGCAGAGTGACTCTGTCCCCAGCCACCGTTGCTTCCCTGTCCCCATGAGGATCCACTTCCTTGGGAGCCAGTGCTGTTCCACATGCCACCTCCCTCCTCCTCATCCTCCCAGCTGGAATGACGTGAGGCTGCTACAGAGCCCTCTTTGTCACCCCATCCATCTTGCATAGACTTTGAACCTTTTGAGCCAAATCGTACACAATTAGCACACAAGTGATTTTATATACTTTATATAGGGATCAGGGCATATATGTTTTTGAAAAGCCTTACTCCCTTACCAGACTTGATCGGGTTGGGAGAAGGGTTTCCCCAGCCTGACGTCTTTCCTCCGGCACAGTCAGAGTCCCCCCAGCCTGTAGGGGCATCGGTAGGCTTCCCCCAAGCTGATGTTCCATTGTCTACATTAGCACTAGTAGGAGAAGTGCCACCCCAACCTGTCGACTCTGCAGACATATAGATAGCAAAAAATTAAATATTATTTGGCCAGTATAAGGCCTGATGTTTCCAATTAAACACCTTGAAAGAAATAATAGCAAAATGACTAACAGATGATTATTTCTTTCACAGTATTTTCTCTTTGATAAAAACTTCTGAATCACAATTCAACAGTCTTACCCGCAGCTGCAACTTTCCCTGGTCCAGTGCCAGGGTTGAAGTCTCGATTACCTCCAAGCCCTGCAGGTGGCCTATTGGACTGCTGCTGTTGCTGCTGCTGCTGCTGTTGCTGTTGTTGTTGTTGTTGTTGTGGCTGCTGCTGTGCTGGAGGTCCCTGTTGTGGTAGCTGCTGGGCCTGACCTTGAACATGTGACTGCTGGCCAGCAGGGGCACTGTTTTTATCCCATAAGTTTACTGGCTTGTAGTTGTAATGGGTTGGGTCTCCCCATGCTGATGTTCCATCGTCAATGTCGTTCTTTCTACTGATAGACTGCGGCGAGGGTTCCTCCCAGCCGCTCGGTTCAGATCCACCACCACCCACTCCGGGGCCACCAGGAATGGGCCCCGAGGTCCAGCCTGAGCTTTGGTTCTGATTCTGGGCTTGAGAAATGGGTTTCCTTCCCCCGCCCCCTTGCATGGCCCCTTGGTCCAAAGCTTGCTGTAGCTGTGGATGCTGATTGCGGGGCTGTGATTGTTGCTGTTGCAGTTGTGCCTGTGGGCCTGTGATGGAGCCCGGCTGGCTGTTTGGCATCTGATGCATTTTGTTTGCTCCACTCCAATTTTGATGGGGTTTTGACCCGATACCCCCAACACCCATTCCCCCTCCTCCACTGCCTCCTCCTCCACCAGTACCTCCTGCACCCCAGGTTCTGCGTGGAGCATTATCATCCCAGCTTCCCCAACCACCCACACCCGTATCCCCACCTGAGTTTCCTCCTGCATTCTTCCTCTCATCCTCCCAACCACCTTCTCCAATGTTTGATTTTTCTTGCTCTCCCCAGTCCCTACGTGACCCAATTTTCTGTCCTGAACCCCATCCACTTCCTCCTACATTGCCCCCAATTTCTTTCCAAGCCCCTGCCTCTTTCTCCTCCTGATTTCTTCCCCAGCCACCACTGACTGATTCACCCTGTTGCCTAACATCACCCCAACCAGCTCCACTTCCTCCTCCTCTACCACCACCTCCCCAATCTTCATTGCCCCAACCCTTGGCATTGTGTCCTTCCGCAGGCCCTAATCCTTCACTACCCCAGCTTGTAGCCTTTCCCTGCTGGTTTTGCCCTTGTATTGTCCCTGACCCCAATCCCGAACCTGTTGTGTTCATTGGCCCAGATTGTGAGACGCCGAGATTTCTCAAGTTGGAGCCTGAAGGTTGTGTGACTCTCCCAGACAGAGACGCCCCACTACTGCTACTGTTGCTGCTGCTTTCCCAACCCTCTCCAGATCCAGCAGAGGAAACCAGGGAGGGATTGACCCCTGCACCTGCAGACTCACTGATAAGGGTCCTGGATCCACTAGAAAACTGAGAACTGCCAACAGAAGTTGGGTGTTTCGCTGTGGATGAGGAAAATCCACCTTTATTCAGTTGTTCTTCAACATCCCAGGCTGTGTTTTGTCTGATTTGCGTTTGGCCCCAGCCTGTATTGGACAGGACTCGTGGATCCAGATCAGTTCGACTTAATAGGTTCTGTAAGGCAGTTTCAGCATTAGGTGCCTGACGGCGAGGATGACTGTTAGTGCTGTTGGGTCCACTTCCATTTCTGGAATTGCCGCCGCTGGATGAAGATCCTCCCCGCGCTCCCTGTCCTCCTACTTCCACACCCCACTCCCCAGTTTCACTCTCTACTTTCTGATTGTCCCAGACTCTGGTCAAAGGGGTGACTGTTGAGGAAGACGACGAGGTGGCAGGAGGGTTATCAACAGTGCTGCCCCCACTACTACTGCTGTTACTGCTGCAGGCTCCACCGATTCCCTCTCCTCCTAGGTTAGCTCCTCCAATACCAGTGGAGCTGCCACCCCAATCAACACCAGAAACTGCTCTATCCCCTACTCCTGATGACCCCCACCCTCCCTGAGATACTCCAGACGTTTGAGTATTGTTCCCTCCAGTTCCAACACTCCCCCAAGCATTAATTCCACTTGTGGAACCAGGATAACCCCAACCCGAAGTTCCATTATCCCTTTCAGCAGCTCCGAATGCTCCTGTTCCACCTCCTCCACCCTCCCAACCATCAGTTCTTGAGGCACCCGTTTTGGAGTTAGCTGCAGGGTAAGAAGGCTGGCCTCTCCATGTGGAGGCGACATTGTGGTCTCCCACATTCATCCCGCCTCCTCCCACACCACGGTCCATTAGTCCCCCGATTCCTTCTCCACCTGCAATTTTTGGTCCCGCTGATTCACTGTCCCATTTCCCCCCTCCCATCTCTCTGTCTCTAGATTGCATTTGGTGAAGTTGGTGCTGATGGGTACTTGATTGATTCACAGATATAGGCGGGTGACCCCCCAACACTCCACTTCCCATTCCCAGGGAAGCAGAGTTGTTGGCAGACACAGACCCTCCAGGGCCCTGGGGATGGAAGGAAGACGGACCTCCTTCCCCTGCAGCAGCAGGCCCATCCTGCTGCACAAGGGCAGGCCAGGCCGAAGGGTTGGCATTTGGACTGAAGTTGGCACCTGGAATCCCACTGCTTCCATCAACGGGGCCACTGGTATCATGGCTCCCTGGCACAGTGGAGGCTTTGGAAAGTAAGGAGGGCTGCTGTAGCAGGGGCCCAGCTGCAGCTACAGCATTCCCTCCTCCGAGTTGACCCTGGGAGGCAGCCGTCCCCCATGCCACACTATTAGACGACTGCATACATTCATTAGGCAAAGAGAACGAAGAAGTGGACGAGGAATGGTTGCCGGAGGCACTAATGCTGTTCACAGGCATTCCACTGTTGCTGCTGCCCCCTCCAGCTCTGGCAAATGAAGCTGCTCCTCCATCACTTCCAGCGATGCTAGGCCACTCCTCCAGGTCATTGCCATCAACAATTACCTTCTCCCGGCCCTGAGAGGAGGTCTGGCTGCCTGAGCTTGCCCCCCACATGGAATTTGCATAATTAGAAGAAGTAGAAGCAGCAGCTGATGATGAGGTGAGGGCCAATGAGGAGGCAGTCGCACCAGAATCTGAACAGCAAAAAGCTGAGTATTAAAAACATTAATGAAAAAAAAAAAAAGCAATAAGATGTGGGAGATCGTTTAAAAAAAAAAAAATAAACACACACCTGAGACAGCAGTCATGTTTGTGTTTGGGCCATCCCCTCCTCCCCCTCCCAACAGCATTGAGGACAGTGGTGGCTGACCCCTCTTCAGTAGCACTTTATGGTCCTGCTGGCAGCGAAATCTTGGCGGCACTTCTCTCGGCATGTAGCGTGGCTGTTGTTGAGATGCCTGGGTCCCGCCTCCGCTGCTTGTACTGACGTTTCCAGTTGTACTGGGACTGCCAGTGGTGGAGGAAGAACTGGTGATGGAGGTGGACTGTCCGTTGGCCACCGCCAGGCGCTTGGCATTGTTGCCGCCCTGTGAAGGGGTGGCAGCACAGCCAGGGCCTGAGGTGGCTGGTGATGGGGATGCAGAGGGGGTAGGTCCAGGGCTGGGGGAGGCAGAGCTGCTCTGAGTGGCAGGAGAATGGGCAGATGCCGGCTTGCTCAAGTCTGACACTACATAAGGTGGAAGAAAGAAGAAATTGTTAATTAATCGATAAATTAATCGATAAAAACAAAGAGAATAATAAATCTTTAGATAGAAAATAACCTTTATAAATTAGCTAACATCAATTCATTTATACACAAATATTGGGGCTGCTTACCTTTGTTTTTTTGTTCTGCAACCTATGTTTAAAAAGGAAAATGACAAAGAAAAAACATGAGTTACTGTGTTCTCCAAAGGCTGCTAAATATATATGTGATGGTAAAAAAAAAAAAACATATGATTTTTCTAATATAAGTTACAAAGAGGTAAAGAAAGTAATTAATCATCAATGCTACATATACAACTATATACAAACATACAGTAATATATACAATAAACATTACACAGTTGTTCTCAAAGGAAATATGTGTTATGTTATAACATGCTGCTGCATGTTGGTTTCTCTAGAGAATCAAACTGTTTTGCAGAAACTGCATTTCTGTGATACCTCTGGCTTGTAAAAACTCTTAAAAAGACAATCTAATTCATTCTAAATATACTGAGAGGACACAAAGGGAGGAAAATGCTTACCTTCTGAGAGGCTTCCCTTTTCCTTTTATCGTCTTTTTTCCTTTTCTTGTCTTCCATGAACTACTTCTCCGGTCCCGATACTCTGTTCTTCCAGTAAAAATTAAAAACATCCACAAATTAATCATAGCAAGCAAATCACTATCAAAATTATATCTCAGGTTTGTAGTGATAACAAATAAAATGAAAATGTCAGGAGTACAGGCCATGAAAGGCTTCAGAAGCAGGGGAGTAGATGATGTGAATCAGCCATCAAACACTTGAGCTAAGAATACTGCTGGACACAGGCAACAAACATAGTAATTATCCCCATCTAAAGCATGCAGAACAGTGTAAGCTGATCACACTTGTTGTTTCAACCAATTTAGACGGATTACGAGAGACATAACTCATTTAGTCATTAGACTCACTGAATTTGCAAGCGAAAAATAACCAGTGACCACTCTAAGATGGAGCAATTTTCAGCACTTTGTCAGCTGCACAACAAAAATAATGCAATATCATTAAGGTGCCTAAAATAGGAAAATAGATCATGCTGATGAGGGAAAACACAGCAAAAGTGAACTATGTAGCATTGATTAAAGGGTCTGGGGGAAGACCCTACACGGCCCCTTCCACCAAGAAGGCCTGGATTCAAACTTTTTGATATGACCAAGGTTAACTCATTCATCCCCAAATAGTGTTTGATCAGCCAAAGTGCCAAGAAGAAAAGCTAATTTCTTGCTCATATTTTTCATTTAATTCAGCTCAACAATATGATCCATAGTCTTATGTAAATAATTGACAAATTTTCTTAAAACACTGAAAGACTTGTAGTTATCATACATATGCCATTAGTTTTGTACCATATTGCTCCATCAAATATTAAACTTTCAGTATAATTTGAAGGAGACACAAAATGACAAGTTACAAACAGTATCATCTGTAATGGTACAGTATTACAGTATACAGTAATTTTATTCTTCCTAGAACTTCTTCAGTCTTTCACAAAGCACAGGCAGTATTACTTGCAGAAATTAAATTTTTCCTTAACTATATTCACCTGCCGCTTATACTTTAAAACCCAGAACAATGTAAGAGCATGGTATGCTAAGTCAAGCACAACAGAAAAGCACCAATTGGTGAAGTGAATTTGATTGTGACAAGTGAAACCCAAAGAGTATTTAGCCAGTCCAAAAATCTCCAATATGTTTTAATAGCAAATAGGACACCAGACTCAAATCCCATGTGTTGAAACCCTGTTAACGTAAATGTTAAAGTGGATTGCGTTTTCAAAGGAAAACCTTTACGAATTAAAAATCACTTCCATTTAATGAAACAACTTCAGTTTTAAACACCGTTTATGGGTTAATGCCAAAACACCTTCAAAAGGGAGGAACCTTGGGAGGAAGAAAAATGAAACCCAAAAAATTAATCCTTGTTCATATATCAGGAAGCTCTACTAACAATTTTGATCTGTCAAACCAGCATTTAAGCTGACTGCAGCCTTTTTTCATCTAAATACGGACGACACCTGCTAATACGACCAGTTATTGTGTTGTCAGGGTTTAAACAACAACGGCGCCGATAAAGCACTTTGCCAGCAACCATTTGGAAAGTTATTGACTTACACCATGTGTGTCAGGGGTTACAGTTCTTTAATATCAATGGTATTAAATGTAAATGCAAATTTGCATAGCAGCGCCAAATGCTAACATTAAGGAGTGGTATCTAATTTACTGGGACAATACAGAAACAGCAAGGATGTTGCAAACTTGCCGCTGTCCAGATTAAAGTGTGCAGGATAATAGTTGCACAATATTATTACAGTGAACCCAGCTGATAGGATAACTTAAGATACTTATACTGCATCACCAGAGCTGCTGCTATCAAGGTAAAGCTACCTTGACTGAGGCTAAGTGCGTTAGCTATGCTTAAGAGCGCAGTTGCATAGTAATTCACTAACACATACCTTAGCAGCCATTTAATATATGCACAAACAATAACACGACAACATGACACACTTAAAAAAAACAACAATGACACAAATCCAATTACTCACCTCGTGAATCACATATGAATTTAAGCTAGCGTGCTAAGCTAACTCAGCTAAAGTGCTTCAGTGCGATTTTTTTTAATTTCAGCTTTTCGAGGCTACAACCAGAGCAACGAGGCCTGGGTGGATAGTCAAGACAGTAGCGAACGATGCAAACATGCGCGTTTACACGAGCTACAGGTTGGTAAATAAGTACTAACGTTGTAATAGCATAAAGCCTAATGTGCTGAAGAATTGAAATCTCAAAGCGCTGTGGAGTCAGTCAGTTGACGGGCGGCCATTTTGCTGCTCAGTGTGAAGCGTCTCCAATAGGCAGCGCTTGGCAGCTGCGTGGACGCGCTCTGACTGGCTGCCGCCGAGGAGAGGGACGACTGAAAAAAAACAACCCACCGCTAACGTGTGACAGGACAACTTTATTTTAAATTTACACAGATTTAAAGCTCAGTAAACCACTTTCACATTTCAGGTAACAACATAGCACTTGTATATTTTTGAATTAATTAAATATTGTCACCCCAAGTTTTTAAGCTGTTACCATGGCAAACCACTGTTTTGTTCTGATGTTAAGTTTTACTTTAAATATTTTTTATGTACATTCGTTAATTATGTTATCTTCAGATTTTTCTTAATTGATTGGACAATATTATACACTTTGCGTTTTGTTTGGTAAATATTTCACTTTCAGAAGATTTTCGCTTTACAAATATTATATCTTACATATAATAAGTTGTTTTTTGTATTTCGCCGTTTTTTTCTAACGGTCGCATTATAGCAACAGCTGTTGGCTTAATTTTACCTAAATTGAGCTAACTAAAATTCCCAAATTTCTAATTAGTTTTAAATGTAATTATTTATCACAGTGCAACCTTTCTAATCAACTTTAACTACAAGGGAAATGTGACCAGAAATATTAAACGGTTTACTAATTTCATGACCAATAATTATGTATCTTATTGACATAATTTATTTTCTCAATCTGTATTTTCCTAAAATTTGCTGACAAAAACTTGCTAATGAAATGTGCTAATGAAAGCTTATTTTTAAAACTTTTACCACCTTTTCTGTTTGCCAAACTGAACTTAAATACCTTGAAAACATTAAATTTTAAAACATGAATCATGGCTTGAATTTTGTCTTCACAGTATGGGCCCAAAAATTAGAGGATCAACTAGAAGAAAGCGAGAGGAAGATGATGATTATGTGAAAACAGGCGGGAAAAGGAGGACACGTGGGAAGGGGAAATATATCGGAGCTCATGTGAGAATTGCAGGTGAGATCCAAAACCCAGATATGACAATTTGTATGGCTGTCAAATTAATTTTATTTGATTAGGTATATATTTTAAATAGTTATAGATTTTAAATGGGAGTACTAAAACTCTCAAATAACTACATATCAACAACACTTTACATACAAGTGATAACTCTAAAAGATCAATAATTTAGACCAAAAGAGCTAAATAACCACTACAAAATTCCTCTAAAAGATAGAAATAACTAAGATGACAGTTACATAAACAGTGACATCAAAGTAGACCAGAACAAATGGTGTTGTCCAGTCCTGTTAGTCACTTTATTCTTCTGCCTTTAACGTGCATCCTTAGGTGGTATCTGGAAAGCTGTGGAGGAGTGTGTGGAGATGGGTGGCAGGAGTTTTGGCATGTTTCTCGGCCCCAAGCGTTCCTGGAAAAGATCCCCACTAGACCCTGAGTCTGCAGCTAGGTTTCAGGCAGAACTCTTCCTTCGAGGAATTGACCCAGCTCATGTAGTTCCTCATGGGTCCTACCTGATGAACTGTGGTTCTTCCAAAGCAGGTTAGAATGACTTTAAAGTATCTTTTCTGATACAGTTTTTCTTAATTCTTTGGCTCATAATATTCTCTTATGATAAAAAAACGGACATATGAACATTGTCACAACTAGATGTGTACAGGAAAAGTGAGGCCATGCTGGTGGATGACCTCCATCGCTGCAGCCTCCTGGGCCTCAGCCTCTACAACTTCCACCCTGGCTCCACCACAGGCTCCATCACCACTGAAGAGTGTACAAAGAACATCGCCAAGGCTATCAACTTTGCTCACCGCCAAGTTCCTGGTGTGATTACAGGTGCAGTTGGACGAGTAGGAGCAGATGATACAGATAACATTAGAAAATAGATTGCCCAGATTATTTCATTTACCTAGGATGTTTACCAATTTGATATTATCACCAGTTTCAACTTGAAATTTGGAATAAATCAATCTTAAAGTTTGCACAAAATGATTTGTATTGTATTGAAAGTTCAAAATTATTGCAGGAGACAGAGAATACAAAAAAAATCCATTTTGAAAGTCATTCCATCCAAGTACACTGCCAGCACATCATTGCTTTGGAAGCACTTTGACTACATCAGCAAAGCTGACTGTAGGCTTGACACTGCTGCAGGTATACAGATGATTCATGTTACCAAAAACAGTCTGTGTGACTCATATGCCCCAATTTCTTCTGCTCAGACTAAATCAGGTCTGTGTGAGATACTGCAGAAGGGCACGGCCCATTATTTTCATTTGTTTGTGTGTATGAATATGATAATGACTTCATTTGTTTCCTTCTCCCCTCTGTGTAACCTCAGTGCTGGAGAACATGTGCTGTCAGGGTGGCACCGTGGGTGGAAAGTTCTCCGAGCTGAGAAACATCATTGACAGAGTCAGAGACCAGAGCAGAGTCGGAGTGTGTATCGATACATGCCACGCCTTCGCTGCAGGTACCTGGATACTGTGAGAGTCAAACACTGTCCGGTCAAATTTAAGTATTAAGTTCTAGAGGACACCGGCCATTAACCATGGAACCATGTACTGTTTTCTGCGACGTGGAAAGAAAAGGATGTGCAGGAAAAAGTAAAAGAAAGAAAATGTACAAGACAGCCACAGCAGTTTGTTGTGGAGGGGGTGTGTTGTGTTACTGTCGGTAAGGTGTTGTATGTAAGTGTGTGTTACGCCAAAAGTAAACCCAGGCACACACGTGAGAAAATAACATAAAGATTAATGTTGGTTTTTTTCATATAGTCTAAAATCGTTCTGCAATGTTTCCAGTATTCCACTTAATAATAATGTTCCAAATGAAATGGCCATTGAGGAGCCACGATCAGAATGTAAAGAGCGTGCTGTGTTGGCTGTTCTCATGTTCTCCCCGTCTTCTCAGGATACGACCTGGCTGCAAAGGGAGGCTTTAAGCGCATGTTGAATGAGTTTGACTGTGAGGTGGGTCTCCAGTACCTGGAAGCCATCCACCTCAATGACTCCAGAGGTGTGGCCTGAAGAAAGATTCAGATGTTACAATCATTTCAGAACATCTGTGTGCTTGGCTAAATCATTCTCCACCTTCACGGTTTATTTATATTTGTAATCTGAAACGCAGGACAACTGGGCTGCAAGCTGGATCGTCACGAAGATATTGGCAGAGGATACATTGGAATTTCTGCGTTCAGAGAAATTGTCAATGAGCCAAAACTCAACAACATTCCTATGATTCTGGAGACGCCGACAAGGTAAGAACGCCTGAGGATGTGTGGAATCTGGAGCTTGTAAGTAACCAAAGCTAATACTAGGCTTATAGCTTATTTATTTTGCTAGATAACTTTAAGCCTTTTCTTTACTTTAAAATGATTGCTTAGCTGATGATTGGCATAATTTGAGACATGTTGTGTCTCTTGTTGTCTCTCTCAGGAGAGGATTCACATTTGCAGATCAGATTGACCTTCTCTACTCTATGTGTAAGAAGTAAGATAATACTGTCTGACATTATTGATGAATCAGCGCAGGACACAGTGAGTGCTGAAAATAATATGATTTTGTCTTAATTGTTTTCTTTTCTTTGGGCCAGACTTGTTGTTTATTGTAGATCCTTCTCTTTAAAGAAGTTGAGAAGTTTATTCTTTTTTAAACTCAGTAAATGAAAATGTACCCTGTTCTGTTTCCTGGGATATTGTTTTATTCTTGGAATTGTTGTAATGGCTTTATTCTGTGACAATGTGTTTTAGTCTTTAGTCTAAAGTTCCTGTTGAAAAAAAAATAATTAAATGAGTTGGACCTGTTCAGAGTTGTCGTGTTCAAATTACCACTAGATGGCAGGAGAAACACACACATGCAATGTGGGAGTCTGAAGATTGAACAGAGGTAACTCTTTGTCTGTCCTTTTTACAATATCTTCATTAACCTGAATGTGTATAATATTAGTTGTGATTATTATATTGTGATTTTTGGACTCAATTTTAATCTGCTCATAATAATTTTGATTTTTTTTTGTCTCTATAACTCCAGTATCTTATTATATTACTTTTGACTCATCTTCAAGAATAAAATTAAAATGTATTATCTTTTTGATCTAATCATTGTGAGACAGTGGTTTGAACATTAATATCATCGTTTAATATCATCAGCCTCTCATAGTATTGACTTTTTATTCTGCTTCATGACTTTTGACCTTACTGACCTAATTTTCATTTTCTTTGCTCTGTCTTATGACAGACTTTTTCACCTATTATGGGCTTTATTTTGTTTATAATTAATATATTTTCTATCTATTTTCTTTTTCTCTCAACTAACTTTCATTTTAATTCCAATTTTAGGCTGGTAATCTGACAATTGTTGTTGGTCATTAGGTGAAACATTGGAAACATTAGGTGAAGCAGCAGCTAGCTCATTCTGCACAACATATTTTGCATTAATGGTATGAAAATGAATAGTGAACCTGAGCTCATGTCCAGACCGTGGTGTCTTTCAGTCAAGGAAGAGAGACAGGAAGTGGAGGTGCCTGGTCCAAGAATTTCTCTGCACTCAGGTCCCACCCACAGGAAATGCCTGTCCGCCTGCTGGAGTCTGGTCTAAAAGCAAAGGGGGAAAAAAGTAAGAAATTTTGATTTCTGGCAGAGGAGGTTTGAATGATGTGATGGCTGCTCCTGCTTCTCGTATCCTGCAACGTTTAGATAAGGTGATGGTTCTCAGAGATGTGGTGGTGATCTGGTTGGGTCAGGGGTTGAGGAGCAGTGGAGCTGAAGACTAAACAGTGAACAGAAATTCCTTCACTACTTATTAATCATGTACTGGGAGAAGAAAATAAACAGCAATTGGAAAATAAAATGCCCTTCTATCCTCTAATTATTCAAAGCTGTGTGGTATTAGCTGCTTCTCCCTAATGTGAGCCGTGGTCTAGCCATTTTTCTTCTCTCTCTCCCCCTCTCTCTCTCTGTCATTACTTTATGCTGTGAATATTTTCCACTGCAGCCCAAAGCCACTGATGTAATTATACAACTTTGTAAATACTTCCAGATCACTTTGGTTTGAATACTTCACTGTTATTCCAAACTTAGACCTGAAAGAGCTGGTGAATTTCAGACTGATGACCTCACTCTGGGTTCGGTTTCCATCAGCTCTGAACACAGGGCTCCATCCAGTGGTGGAGCCGGCCGTGTGTTTCTAAACAGTGACAAATTTGAGGGAATTACTCACGGTATATCAGCAGCATGTAGCAAACATACAGTAGGCAACTGTAGTTATTTAAAACCTGCTAACAATTAAGTGTGACACAACTCAACAATTAAGGTTGGCCAGAAGAACTAAAATACATTATCAAGCAAATATTTAAAATGATCTTACTTTAACGTTTTATAAATAATAATGGTTAAGTGTCTTGCCCTAATACAAATAAAGTTTTAACAAATGTATGGATAGAAACTATCCAGGAATGGGACCTGTAGAAAGCTGCTGAAAGCCTTTAAGTTAGCTAAGTCTTAGCTTATAGTTAGCTAAAATAGCCTCCAACGTCAACATTCACCACATGGACCAGATCTTAGAAAGTGCTATAAACCCACTGACCAACATCCACTTGAGCTACTTCAGTATTTCTGCTTGATTTGCTTCTCAGCTGTTCTTCAACCCCCCAATTTCCTCTGTATGAAGCCGAGGAGCAGCTCAGTGGTAAAACCACACTCTTGGTCTGAACAGCTTCGCTGGGACCCTGGATGTCCATGCAGGGATTTAAAGTGGAGGCTCTCGAGTCATAAACACACCCCACTGACCCTCAGACGGCTGCTAATAAATACATAACTGCTTTCTAAGAGGACGTATATAAAAACAATGGTTATTTAGAGTTTTTTTCAATGATTTGCTGTGGCAACCCCTGAAAAAAAAGGACAAAGCCGAAATAAAAAGAAGAAAGAAGAATTTAGAGGTTTTTTTATTTCTTTCAGACAGACTGAAGCAAAACAGCCTGGTTTTGTTGGGTCGTGTCTAATGGAGGAGATCCTCAAGCTCATGGAATAATTGAAAATGAATTCCAAAATTTACTGTAGATAAAATTTTATAAAATGGGAACAAAAAAAAAAAAATTGGAGCCATTAGGTGGCAGTAATACAATTGATAATATTCATTCTATTGAACCTACTGAAAAAAGAGGTTAGAGCAATAATTTTAATTTTAGGAACTGAACTGGTTCTCAACTGTCATTTGTCCTTCAACACAGCAACATTCTTGAAAAATGAAGAACTATTTCCAGAAGTTCTAAGCCCAGTTTTTTCCTCACTTATCATCTTATCCAGTGGGTGAGGACTAGAGAAATACAGTTAGTCAGGAAAACCACAAGGAAAGACACAGAAGAGAGAAATGTGACTGAGGAAATCACTGCACTCGTGGCTTTTTTCCTCCACTTTTTCACGAGTTTCAGACCGAGGCCAACTCTCTGTGCCCACAGTCTGACTGCCAGTGAAAATGCCTCACACAGACTCATACAGATTCTCCATACATACACACATCCATGAACCAAATTGCTTGGAAGAAACCAGAGATGAAGAGCAGGGTCCATTCTGCACCCTCAGCAAATCCTGACTTTAGCTTCAGCAGCAGCATCAGCAGTCGGACGTCATAAATTACATTTATTTCCTCACAAAGAAAGTGTGAGGCTTGGTGTATATATGTATTTCTATAGAATCCTCCGTGTGGTCAAAGCGTGTGAGTTATCATGTGGCAGGGGTTTAAAGAACACAGCTAAGTGGATGAGACTATAAACAGAAAAGTCTGCGGACAGAAACTGACAAAACAACAAAACAATCCTTAAACTAGGGCTGCAGGCAGACGAGATGGACCAGCAGTAACAACACACAAGGCTAATGTAGACCCTCTACATCTACTACTGTGCATACTTAGACTTTTAAAGTACTACTGTTTCTGATTTTCACACAGTGATGGCCGGGGTTATAGTGCTCATCTCTTTGGAAAGGACACAGATAAAATACAACATCACATTCTATATAAGGAGACCCACTGTGTCTCCCCTCCTTTCTCCCCCTCCTTCATTCCTTCCATTTGTTCTTCCCCTCTCTTTCCCCCTCTTGATCCCTTTCTACTTGCTGGCTGCGGGTGCAGAATGCTGCCCAGTGATGGCTGGGCACCAGGCCATGAGGAGACAGGCATGAGCAACATGAGGGAGAGGGGGTGAGGCTGGAAAAGGGGGAGAGACAGGGGGAGGAGGAACAAGAGGTAAAAAGAGAGTAAGGAGAAAAGAAGATGGCTGCTGAAGAGTGGGTATAACAAGTTTTTTGTCTGTGGTGAAAACCAAAACACTGTACATCACATCTGCAGTTAACTCACTAAGAATAAGCTTTCATTTGGTCTAAAAACAGAACAAAAATTCATTTTTAACAATAAAATATTCTGCATATAAGAACAACAGTCTTGTCCGCTTTTTCATTTAGAATTTAGATAAGATTTAAGTTAAAATGACAAAAACAAATATATCTTTGAGGGATAGACCAACCTTCTGGTGATCCCACCTCCTGCAGCTTTAACTTCCAATGATAACAAACAGTTTGTTTTTAAATTTCAGTCTGACCAGAAACCTGCGTCACCTCTAACACTGCTGTTTTCACACTGACACAGAAATTAGTGCTTTACTGTAGCCTGAACTCAGCCAAACACACGGAGGAGTGATAACAGAGCTGCTGCTGCTGCTGTTACTGCTGCTGCTGTTACTGCTGTTACTGCTGCTGCTGTTGTTACTGCTGCTGCTGCTGCTGCTTCTGCTGCTGTTGCTGCTGCTGCTGCTGTTAGTGCTGCTGTTACTGCTGCTGCGGCTTCTGCTGCTGTTACTGCTTCTGCTGCTGCTGTTGCTGCTGTTGCTGTTACTGCTGCTGTTATTGCTGCTGCTGCTGTTACTGCTGTTGTTACTGCTGCTGTTACTGCTTCTGCTGCTGCTGTTACTGCCGCTGTTACTGCTGCTGTTACTGGTGCTGTTACTGCTGCTGCTGCTGCTTCTGCTGCTGTTGCTGCTGCTGCTGTTGCTGCTGTTACTGCTGCTGTTGTTGCTGCTGTTGCTGCTGCTGTTGCTGCTGCTGCTGCTGTTAGTGCTGCTGTTACTGCTGCTGTTTCTGCTGCTGCTGCTGCTGTTACTGCTGTTGTTACTGCTGCTGCTGCTGCTGTTAGTGCTGCTGTTACTGCTGCTGTTGCTGCTGCTGCTGTTGCTGGTACTGCTGCTGTTCCTGCTGCTGTTGCTGCTGCTGCGGCTGCTGCTGTTGCTGCTGCTGCTGTTGCTGGTACTGCTGCTGTTCCTGCTGCTGTTACTGCTGCTGCTGTTCCTGCTGCTGTTACTGCTGCTGCTACTGCTGCTGCTGCTGCTGTTACTGTTACTGTTACTGCTGCTGTTACTGCTTCTGCTGCTGCTGCTGTTACAGCTGCTGTTGCTGTTACTGCTGCTGTTATTGCTGCTGCTGCTGTTACTGCCGCTGCTGCTGTTACTGCTGCTTTTACTGCTGCTGCTGCTGCTGTTAGTGCTGCTGTTACTGCTGCTGCGGCTTCTGCTGCTGTTACTGCTGCTGTTTCTGCTGCTGTTGCTGCTGCTGCTGTTGCTGGTACTGCTGCTGTTCCTGCTGCTGTTGCTGCTGCTGCTGCTGTTGTTGCTGCTGTTGTTGCTGCTGCTGCTGCTGTTGTTGCTGCTGTTGCTGCTGCTGTTTCTGCTGCTGCTGTTACTGCTGTTGTTACTGCTGCTGTTACTGCTTCTGCTGCTGCTGTTGCTGCTGTTACTGCTGCTGCTGTTACTGCTGTTACTGCTGCTGCTGTTACTGCTGTTACTGCTGCTGCTGTTCCTGCTGCTGCTGTTACTGCTGCTGTTGTTGCTGCTGTTGCTGCTGCTGTTTCTGCTGCTGCTGCTGTTACTGCTTCTGCTGCTGCTGTTGCTGCTGTTACTGCTGCTGCTGTTGCTGCCGCTGCTGCTGCTGGTACTGATGATGACGAATGTGTCTCTCACTCAGTGTGTCTACTGCACATGTTTGCTGAGCATGACTGGGCTTTTTGTTCATGCCCTGGGACCAAGGCATATCTGAGGTGTGTGTGAAAGTGTGTGTGCGTCTGTGTGAGAGAGAGGGTGAGTGGGTTTGTGTGTGTGTTTGCTGAAACCAGCGCACACGGCAGGGTCAGTCCTCCAGGTCAATCATCCATGGACGAAGAGCGCAAAGGTCAGACATGGAAATTCCTCATATTACACACACACACACACACACACACTATGGAGTGGCAAAGTAAACGCACATTGAAGTTTATATAAGCATTTATAAACATAGAGCAACACATCTACACACTTACTCTCATATATACACCCACAAATACACTCCAATGAACCACACATACACACATGAAAACAGGCATTTAAAGAAACACACAAACACACACACACACACTGTCATCAATACTTAGCTGACTATGTAAACCCAGCAAAGTTTATACAAGTACTTAGTGTATCACACCTTCAGGATCACATACATTAATAACACACACACACACACACACACTGCTTTGCCACATACCATATGCCCCGTAAATAGCCCCCCCCCCCCCTCCATGGTTTTTACCATTAGTGTGAATCCATACATCACACACCTGACCTGAAGGTTGACATGGTCCAGGTCATGGACATGTTGGACAGGAAGACAGCCAGGAGGACACTGGAGAGTCTGTGTGGGCGTGCTCACGTCGGTGTGGACGTTCCAGAGAAGCAGGCCTGTTTGAAGGACATGAACAGATGATCAATGTCTTGTCTTTGTTCAATTTGTAAACAGGAACAAACGTCTGCCCTAAATACAACACATGTGAACGCAGGTGAAGTCAGGCTGAACATTGTTGGAGGACGTCCAATTAGCAGGTTAGCTGGAAGCAACTTTTGTGAATTCACAAAAGTTGATATCAAACAAGAAAAAGATCAATCTTAGCCCAAAAAAACCTTCAAATGTACCAAACACAGACATGATGTTATAATGAGTGGCTCAATTAATGCTCTTCCTTAGTGTGAGTGATGACATTGACATAAAGGTAACATATACTCTGTTTGTCCAGCCAGAGTAAAGTGTGTGTGTGTACATACGTGCATCTCTGTGCGTTTTCCTGTTTTAGCCTAGCGTGAACATAAAGCGTGCTCTCACAATGGCCCATTGTCCCGTCTCCCCTCCAAACTTCCTGTCAGCTCAGAATTGACGGAAACCAGGACAGAGCGCAAACAAACAGCGGCGGGTACAGTTCTCCACCCACTGTTGGCTCCGTCTTCAGGCTCAGGAGGAGGTGGGTGGCAGCGTTCCTGACAGGAAGTAACAGTAATCAGCTCTGCATCCCAGTTTGACTAGTGCAAAGGAGACACATCTGTACTGTACGCTTGTTTTTACTGGGTCTGGAGTAAGTGTGGAGCAGGAGGTGGTGAGAGGAGGAGCAGAGAGGCAGTCCGGAGAAGGAAGACCAGGAATTGTGAGGAATGGTTTATAAACTATCAACCTGAGAGAGGTTACACCGTCACTATGTTGGTGCAGGGAATCAGGATTGAATTTGGTTGAAACAGTTTTGACAATTTTTCTTTTGTTTTTCCATTAAATCACAATTTATAATCCAAAATATTCCAGACAATTCCAAAATACTTGATACTCTCCTGTCATTTCCCCACACAACTGGAACACAACAACATCAATTAATTCAAATGAACAGAGGAAGTCTAGACGGAGACGGAGTCTAGGGGTGTTGGCTGCTGCAGAAATCATAATTATCTTGAATCATATTTCAATTAAAGTTATTTAAATAAATTATTGATTGGTTTGAGAATTTGCAAATATTATATTTTAAACTTTATTGTGCATAAAAACTGACAATTGAATCCCCAGTTGCCATGGTGACTCCAGCTCAGCTCACATCAGCACTGACTAATCAAAGGTGACAGCAGTGCAGTTGTGATTGATAGCTAACTGGCAAATAAACATGTTGTGCAGTGGAGTTGTTGATGTGTCTTTGGGTTATTTTAAGTTAATCGGAGATCTAAAATAACCAGTTGTCTTATCTTGTGGAACTCCTGCCAGGTCATTATGATCTTGGAATAGGAGGAAGTCACATGTCAGAGTTCGGACCATTTGTTCCCAAATATCTTTGTCACCTTATGTAATGTTGTTCCTCTTTGATTAATGCAGCTCAGCACTAACAGGTCAGTATGCCGTGAAATGATGGTTGAATCACTAGGGGTGAATGCTGCTCCGCATTTATAACATCTTTTGTTTTTCTTTTTACATTTGTTGTCCTATTTTTAAATGAGCAGAACTTTGTGGTTCTTCCATGACATGTTGAGAAATATGCTTGTTTATCGTCTCTTTTTTAAAGTTAAATTATAGAGGAGTGACACCACAGAACTGCCATTAGCCTGGCAACTTAGCCTAGCACTGGCATATGGAGTAAAACCAGATGTATATAAAATCCACATAGGAATCTGATCTAAAAATGTGGTCCAGAAAGAAGACAAAATGTAGGAGTCAAACAAGACTCTAAGGCTGATCTCACATCTACGAGCCCTTAGGCCACAGAGATGTGGACCTTAGGGCCGAAACATTCACACAGAATGAGGACATTTAACCTCAAAGTCTTGTCATAGTAATTTCAATAGACTTTTTTTTTGACATGGCAAAACATTACGACACATGTTTCCAAATTCAAAGACAGACTGAGTTTAAAGCTCCAACCAGGAAACTGTCTGAATGAAAACAAGACATTTGGTCTTATTTTCTGTCTTCAACAGTAAAACAGTTTCACTCGGGCGTAGGTCGGGTAAAATCCTACGAGAGGGACAAAAGACGGAGCACCTGTATCCAGTGCAGACTCCCCAGACGCACATTTGCTTCCAGACTCCCTAAAAACACAGTAGCCGCTGTTATTCTAGGAGTCAAATTAGTGGACAGGGCCGCCGAAGGTCGGGGAGGCTGGATTTACAGCAGTCTGGTCTATGGGGAGCAGCCTGGGCTGCACAAGTGGAGGATTTTACCTTCATGGAGAGTTTACTTCTATAATTAGTTAGAGAAGAGAAAAGGGATAAGTAACGTACGTAGAAATATTGTGGAGGGAAATACGAGGCTCTCATCGTGACCCATAACCAAATCACAACAGTACAAAAAATGTTTACTATCACCACATAATCATCAGTGGAGACATTTACATTAGAGTTCATTATTTTTTCATGTGAAACTGAAGAAACTTAAACACTGTATATATGATATACTTCCTAGAAAACTATATACAGTTAAGTTCCACAACCTCACCCTCCTGGTCATTTCAGACGCCTGTTTTGTAAGTGAGTGGAGAAGGTTTTGGTTCTGTTACAGCTCCCTCTGGTTTCCTGACAGACTTTCTTGGATTGATCTGTGTGCTGCTGGAAATGCCTTCATCAGACCTGGCTGCCGTTTGCACTGTGCTAAAGTCATTTCCTGAAAAGTAATCTTAGTGTTCTCTCACCGAAATACTCTTCCTGTTCCAGCTCAGACCAGGTCTCACGGCTGCACTGCTGCATCCATTCTCACCTACGTATGAGAGAGAATGTCACAGAACTGTCACTTCAATTCATGTGAAAGCTTTAGAAAATATGGAGCTGCTCTAAATAAACACATTTATCATTTTTATTTATCAGCTAATTTCCATCCATTGTTACTATGTTAATATAATACATTTGTTTTTTGTTGTGTTTTTGACATTTTGTTTACAAATCTTATTTTTAGCTTTCTTTCAATGCACATGTAGAGTTGACTGCAGCTCACATAAGCTGTGGTAACTGTAGCCTGCATTACTAACATTACAGACAGGTATTTATTTCAGCGAGAGTTGCTTGGATACAAACAAGTCACAAACTACAGTGTTTTATTGAGGAAGTTTGGGAAACAGAGAACTAATCTGCATGTTTCACAGGAGACCATGACAAACGAATTCTTCTGTCGTTGGTGGAAAAAAATAAACATGTCCTGCTGCTGCTGCTGCTGCCAAGTGCCATCAAACAGCGTGTCATTAACACACTGCAGCTGACAAAGATCACAGTTGCAATCTCCCTCTCTCACTCTTCCCCAGAAGCCACTTGGAACGTCTCAGTGAGTCAACTGAAGCCACAGAATAATGAGCTGAGGTCACAGAAGCAGCCGACACATGGCGTAAATCACGACGTGCCGTCAACAGACACGTCACATGCTACCGTTTGTCGTCACACACATATGTTTTCCCTCACTGTTATCAGGGAAAAGAAAAACAATGACTTTCTAAAAACAATTTGTAAAGGCCTCCGCGCTCCATGACTTTTCCTCTGTGGTCTGATCCAACACCACCATCACCCTCTCCTCCCCCGACTCCTCCCCCTCTGGTCAGATATAATTATCCTTCATCCAGCCTAGAAAAGCAAAAACACTGATCTGTATCTTCTTATAGGAGCTGTGGCCTAGTCTAAACACAGCCTCTGTACTGTTGTGCACCCACGCATGCATGTGTGTGTGTGTGTGTGTTTGGTAGGATATAACAAAGCAGATCTCAGGATATGACACCAGCAGGATACAAACAGATGACAGACTGTGATTCCCCCAAAATAAAATTCCCAAAATTGTTTTTTTCATCACAGTTTCCTTAAGGTACAAAAACATTAGAGTGAATTACAAAAATATTACTTAGTACAAAGTATTACTAATATGTATATTCCATGTACTGACAATTTAAGCCAAGTTGAGTGAATGCTAATTACTCAAGCTGCTGAAATACCCCTGACTTTATCAGTTATTGAGGTCTTTGTTTTTAACAGTTTGTCCCATTTTTAATGCTAATGTGGCCATTTTATACTCATCATCTTTGGCTAACACAGTGGTGGACAAACAAAGAGACAAAGCATGTGAACCAAGACTGCCTGATGGTTTTATTTTGTCTCACTGCAGAACTCCCCCATTAAATTCTCATAGTATCAAAGAAACCACTTGAGGTCATTACTCTGCAAACGCAAGTCAATGATAAGAAAATTCCAAATCGGGAGTGTTTTGCCTCAGCAGGGCTGAAGTGTGTGTGTGACTCAGAAGAGTCATGAGAACGCCTGCTTTCCTCATGTTTGCTTCTCCTCATAAGTGTTAATAAGAGCCCAGTGATGAAAGGCGGTGACGGATCAGTATCTCACACACACCAGGGTCCAGTCACAGTGAACTGAAGTCAGACATTCTGTGTCCATGTCCACACAGAATGACCATCGGTTACAACTGTGGATCTGTAAGGCAAGAGCACTAGCCACTGGGGCACCAAGTCAAACAAAGACATGCCGAAGAGTCCAGCAGATGACGGAAGGAGAGAGTTTCCAGTGAGTGACACTGAAATAGTGAGGAGGAAGGTTAAAGAGAACACAGAGTATCGTAGACCGAGAAAAATGAAAAACACAGGGAGAGATGGAGAAAAACCATGAACTTTGAAGTCTGGTCTCCCTCAGAAGAGAATCCAGAAACTGGGAGCTGTTTTTTTTTAAATATGCCTTGAAACAGAGCATGTTTATCTTGGGATGGAGTGTAGAGAAGAGAGAGGAGGTGGAGGATGCAAAGAAACCCTGGGAGAAGTATGGGAGGAACCAGGGCAGGAGGAGAGGAGATTGTCCAAAAAGACAAATTCAGACGTGCAGAGAGAGTGGAAAAAAACTCTGCAAATGATGGAATGATTTAAATATTATTCATTTATCTCCATCTAATGTTGTCAAAGACAGGAAGGCCTCTAATGTTTTGGAGAATCTTCTGATCATGTCCAGGCCTGAGGGTCTATTGGTTATAAGGTCTTTTAGAGAACAAGCACAACGACCTGGACTGGTGTTTCCCACCCTGAATATGTTCATTATTTAAGCCTTTACTCTGTCAAGTTAAAGATTGTTAGGAATAAGCTTCTGGTTTTTTTTACCTTTGTTTTAAACACGTGACAGAAGAATAGAGAAGGAATGCTGCTGTAATGAGGCCTGAATCCTGACATTAGCCTGTGTTTGTCTGTATTGTTAATTAGCTTCACAGGAGAGAGAGCTCTGCACCTTTAAGTCTTTTTTAAACATGGAGCACCGTAGAATGACTACTGACAGTGAAATATAAAACTGCTGTAACTGTGTGTGCCTTTAACTGTACGGTGGAACAGTGGTCAGTGCTCTGAACATTACATGTTGTCAGGTTCCAATGCACTCAACATGCAGGATTAGGTCAACTGTTAGCTCTTAATGGACCCCAGGTGTGAATGATAGTGTGAACAGTTGTTTGATAAACTGATGAACTGTGCATGACGCAACACCACCCTCCACTGATGACAAGAATCTGCAGCGTCGCACCTCTGACCCTTTGCAGGATTAAGTGGTAGAAGATGAATGAAAACGTTTATGGTGTTTGTCTCTGCCTGGTCGTGGTTCCTTGGTGCAGTTTTTGTTAGACAAATAACTTTTATAAGGCTCCAAATGAGTGCCTGTTGATTTTTACTGGAAACTGGGGTGCAACCGTTCTTTTTGCCAACTAAGCCAGGAAAAAAAGGTTGGAATTTTTGGCCCAAAGTAAAAAAAAATCTTCTTGATGAATATGCTGCAGGAATATGTTGGAGAAGTTGAATTAATTTGTGTTGAAGTTGAAACAGTAAAGGGAGCAAAGCTGGGCCAGAACAGACACACACACACACACACACACACACACACGTCCTCCGATGCCCCCTGAAGCTACATAAACATAAGTCATAAGTGACTATAAACTAATGGCTCTTCTCTAAAACTATAACTCTGTTAGAAGAATCACTTTGGGCCGCTCTTCTTTTCAAGCTTCTCTGCAGCAGATAATCCACACATATGATTTAACAGGGATTTTCCATAAAAAGTCTTTTCCAGTGTCATCTTCCCCAGCTCTTCTGGCTCTGGTCCGGAGTTTGGCATTGGCTGGAAAATGATGATCAGTTTGTGGTTAGCTGTCTTGTCCAGAGACACACTGGCATGCAGCTGGAATCAAACACCAGACCTCCTGGTAGGAATGCAACCCCTCAGCCCGCTGGTGCCTAGGAGGTTAGGAAAACAACGAAATTAGTCAAACAAACACATACCTCTGGGATGACATCATCCTGATCAGTCAGTAAACCTCTGGACCCCTGTGTTGTTCCAACACACACCAGCAGGTGTCCTTCACAAATAAGTAAAGTATTATCATCATGCATTAATGTTTAACCAAAGGCTTTCATGTTAATTATAGAACATGAGGATCACTTCAGTGGGAGAGATGAGAGAATTTAATGTTAACCTGTGAATTCAAACTGTTCTCTGTTCAAATGCTCTGAGCTAATTATAAACGAAGTCTGTATGAAATGAGGAAGGGTGTTGTCTGCAGCAGAGGCTCTCCAGATTTTGTGTGATTGTGTTTACTTCCGCCTGCCTTTCATGACCACTGTACATTTCTGTGTGTGTGTGTGTGTGTGTGTGTGTGTGGTAAGATGGGTGTGGGGGCAGCAGCACTGTCTGTGAAGTGGCCTGTGGCTGCCGTGTCATCGGCTGTGGTTACTGTTAGCAGACTAACAGGCCACCTCTTGTCTTTAACGACACACACACACACACACACTCACGCTCCGTTACGAGCCTTTGAGGAGCAGACTTTGAAAGTGAGGAGGCTTCTGTTCCTGTTGATAAGACCCTCTTTCCTGTTGGACAGGTCAGCTCCAGACCATGGACATGATCTAAACCTCTGAAGGCTCCAAAGTTTCAGTGGTCAGAAAAAAAGCACCAACAATTTCTCCAGCCTTTTGTTTTTTGTTTTTTGTTTTTTTTTAAAGAGAATACAAAGAGTTTACAACCTCCTCGGTAAAAGCCAGGTTATTTTATAATCAATTTCAGATCAGGGTTACGAGACCTTTAATCTTTCATTGTTTTTAATTTGAAAACAAACCAATTCCATTATGAAGAAAATGTGAGAACAACAAATTAAAAAAACAGGGCTGTTAATGTATACGCTCCGTGATAGTAATAGAGTAATATTACTCTGACTCTCAGGCAGTGTAGATGCAGAGGGAGTGACAACACCACAGTGTTGCCTTTTATACAGAGCCTCATCTATTATGAAACTATTTCATAATTATGTGTTTCCCTCCTGCTTAATGTCAGCAGATGCTCAGCAGATAAGGTCGGCTGATTTAACACTGGACATGAGCTCACTGTCTGCTCCTTAGAAAAACACAAACAACTATGTCATTCATTATAAGGGCTTTAATGAAAACCTAATATCAACCCATCATCATGGAGCCGTGACACTGCCTGGGCTCAAATAAAGGCAGTACAGTCAGGATTATGGGATCCGGTCATAATTAACCAAGTGAAATAATGACCCAAAATTACAACTTTGTCCATTTTGTCCTGTTAAATTAGCACAGGAATTGTGAAAGCATCCTGTTTTCCTTTCATCTTTAAAATGAAATGAAAGTTTTTATGTGGAACAAAGTGAAAATATTGCAGATCCTATGAGCCTTGTTCAGACTGATGACTCTAAATGTGCTGCATACATGAGACATACCTCACCTACTATACTACATACCATAACACACCCTTTCAATCTAACCAGGTTATATTAATATGCCAGAGCAAATTTAATGTTTTTACTTCAACATTTGTTTTTGCTGCATTTGCACAGTTAAGCTATTTCTTGCATGCAGTAGTACACAGACAGATTGTCTGTGTACTACTGCATGCAAGAAATATTTTGATTTTTGGTTCCAGTGAAATATACTGCTGTACTTTACCAACACGATTTTTTATTATTTTTCTTAATTTCCCAGAGGAAACTCCAGAGGGATTAACAGTATTTTATCTATATATATATATATATATTTATCCTATTAATAAAAACAGATATAGCTCGATTAATATGACTAATAATACTTTGATGAGTTCACTTTGAGTATTGTTAAGTGTTGATTTACAATGAGGCGTTTGACGTTTAACAGCTCACCATAGCGCCCCCTGCTTCCCTTTTTCACCTGGTTACTTATTACAGCAAAAGGTGTCAATGACTCAATTAGCGCTTAGTAAATGGGGGCGGTGTCTGCGTGTTTTAGGAGAGCGTCTGCTCCGACTCCGCCCCTCTCTTCATGCACCGGGCTGCGCCGCTTCTCAGACCCAATGCACCAACGGCTCAGTGCGGCGGCGCCTGCTGCTCTAACGGTCAGCAGCCGAACCGGAGAAGAACTTTACAGCGTTTTTACTGGAAAATCACTGAAACTGGACTCGGATTCTGTCTTTTTGTTCCAGCCTCGACTTCCAGCGGTGAGTTTGTTTTACTTCTTCGATTTTCAAAAGATTCAGAAGACGCGCGATTACTCAATAACTCCTAAAGGACTTTTATTGTCTACGTTTTACAAATGAAAAGTTGTATTTACACCTCCTTTTTAAACTCCATACAATGTTGTTTTGTAATGATGCCAATAGAAGTCATTGTTGAATACACCGTTGTTGCAAAGTTAAAGGAGTGCAAATTTAAATTTTAGTTCCAGGAAAATCCTTCAAAAAATGTCTGAAACAGATAACGTTTGTTACCAAATGAGGTGACGTGACTCATGGACAGGAATGACTTTTATTCCTGTTTATGCTGTTTCATTCTAGTTAGTATCTATTCCCATCACCAGACATGTAACTCAATCTGCTCCTCAGCATATTTATCCTCAGCACCACCACAGGCAGCGCTGTATCATTACTATTTGACCGCAGCAGCACCACAGCAGCCTGGCTCAGAGGAACACGGCTGGCAACGCTTTGATTTCTATCACACTGCCTTGTAATTAGTGCAGCTACATGTTCGTTTTTCATACACACACGACACTCACACATGTCCAGAACATGACGTTCCACAGTGGTTTCTGAAGGACATGACAGGCTGAGTGAAGGTGAAGTGTTTTAATTATGGAGACAAACAGCCACAGCAGTGTCGGATTTAAGATAAGTGAGGGGGCAAAGCCCTTTGGCCCTCATGACCTGCCAGGACCACCAAGATGAATACCACCTACACACACACACTGGTAGAAGAGCTTGTTGTTTGCCCATAAACAAACAGTAAATCAATAAAACGCCAGCTTGCTCCAGTGACAACATCACCAACCCAGTAAACACTGTGGGTTAGTACAGTGTGTTTTTACATTTCTGTTCTCTCCCTCCCAGAGAAAGCCAACAGATCATCCTTCCTGTTGTTCCTACTGTTCATAGTCATTTTGGACTACCCACCCCCACCCCCGTGGGCTAATTATGGCTAACATGTATCTGTTTGTTTTTATTCTAAAATTTATTTCAGTGCAAAAGGTGACTGTTTTGCTGACCTCTAGTTCTATCTGGCTAATATTTAGCTATCAGGGCCTTCTTTCAGTGCTGACCATAATCATAGACAACTTTAATTAATGACAATTACAAAAGTTTTTCTTATGGTTGGCCTGACTATCTGGGATCATTTTTTTGGTTTTCTTTGCCGTGGTTAAGCTGTTTTTGCTCTTTTGGCTTGGTTTTTAATTACCTGGCATGTAATAGGCCGAGATGGTAAAAAACAAACAAGACTAGTGTGCCATGGAAGCCCAGCTGGACATTTTCCAGTCAGACTTTGCAAAAACTATTTTTCATGGCATTCAATACCTGCGTCATGCAAAATTTAAAGGCAATTTCAGATATTTTGCATTTCCCCTCGGGCCTCTCCCTGTTTCTAAACCTGATATGTAGTGGACTGGGCCAGCAGCTGATGATTAACACATGTGTGTAATGTGCTTCCTGTAGGGTTCCACTAATGTGATTTACACTAATGACACAGTACGTTTCCAAACACTTGATTAAGTTAATAAGAGCAGACAGACCCTGCGGTCTCTCCTCTGTCATTTTTTAAACCCAACTTATACATTCCATGAAGTGGGGCTCAGTGTGATCTTTGGGTGTCATTGACGCAACCAACCAGGGAAAGGGTCAGTGGCAGAGGTGCGAACTCTGAATACGGCCATAGTATTTACTTTCACACCACAGGGTTCCCTCACTTTTTTTTTGACAGAGGACACACATGCTGATTTTGGAAAAACTGCTCCATCACAGGCTGTCAGCACCAAATGGTAAAGACTCATTCAGGATTGAAGCCCACAGTAAAGGAATCTGGTCTGATCCGTTACAGGGTCAACAACCTGCAGGTCCAGTGTGAGGCCCTGTTGTGACTTTTGCACAACGTGTCATTGAAATAAGTTGAACTGTGAAACATAATAATAGTCAAATCCATTCAAAAACTTTTACGGCACAGATAATTCACGATAGGCTGCAATTAGCAATATGTTTTATCCTTGAAATCAGAAACACTGTTTTTGTGACTCACAGAAGACTGGAATAGTAGTCAGTAGAAGTCATAACTCATCATGAATTTCCACATTTGAACCAAAACTGCATCACCTGCTGGCCAAACATGACTATCTATAATAATCTGTAGTTTTTTACCTTTGTGTTAGTGTGATGAGAAAACGATACCAAAAATAATCCGTCAGTTTTATGATTGATTGTAAAGAAACACAAACACTGAGAACAATAGTGCCTTCATTGTTGTTGGATCACATGGAAAAATAATTTCCTCTCCGGGAAGGTTCTTGTGAGAGATCCCTGAGGTCAGAGCTGTCAGACCCTGACAGAACCTGTTCACGCCGGCCAAGATGTTGACGTCACACCGTCGACGTAGGTTCAGAGCTGTGGTGTTCACACACTTATTTTAACCACCTAAACTAGCTGGACAAAATTGGCTCTAACATTTGGCCTGACCTTGTCATCAATTACTGATGAAAGTTGTTCAGTTTTTGTCACATCATCTGACCTGAACATGATGTCATTTATATAATTATCTAATTTAAATGTCGTCATTCAAGCCACAGAAACGTGAGTGACAGACTGACTTCATACAGCATTTTACACATAAACAAGACAATTGAAAACCTGCAAAATATAGTAAAAGTTCATTCCTGACCACAAATTCAATAGTCCCTCCAACACTCTGCTCCTCTGAACGACCACTCTACACGCTTGTGTGAATTACTGCCACCTACAGCATCTGTGTTGCACCGCTAGACCTATTACCAATCAGAATTATTTTGACCACTTGCAAATAAAGTCCAAAAAACCCAAAACATCATCAGAGGGCAGCAGCAACTGTGTGTTCCTGGGTAAAACTGACTGATCGAGTTACTTTTGCATAAATATAGGCTTGGATTCTTTCTGGCTCTAACTATAAACAAACAACTCTTAGCTTTATTGTCAGTGGGCCTGAAGACAGCACTGTGTTGATGGTATGAAATAAACAGCAGCAGTGAGATTCAGGAAAAACAGATTTATGTTTAAAGAGAGACGACGAGGAGCTGTAAGTGTGTGTTGTCAGTTCTGGCAGATGCAGTAAGCAGATCGAGGATTTACTGAAGCGTGACTGTGTTTTCTTGGATCAGGAGGAAGTGCAGCCATGTTTTCCTTGGAATGGAAGCTGAGACTAAACTGCCAAAATAGGAATGTAATTGAAAAATCAAAGGTCGAAGCTAAAAAATGCCGCCTTATCTTGTATGTTTGTTCACCTGGTTAGTGGGGTTAGTGATCGAAGGACACAAAGAGGGGAGGGGAGTGAGGAGGAGTCCTGATAAATGAAGTCCAATGGTGATTTTTACTTCAGACTGTAGCAGAGCAAACAGTGTTGAGTTAAAGTCATCAAAGTGTGTGTGTGTGTGTCCCCAAACAGCTGTTGTAGTCAAGCTGTTTCCGCCTCTTTAAGTCATTTAAGACCTACTAACAAGAAACAAAGAAAAGACATGAAAGAGAGAAAGAAAGCAACAGGAAAAACAGGAAGGACTGAAAGAAAATCAAGAAAAAAAAATGTATGTAACAAAACTTATGTCATCAAAAAAAGTATTCAATCCAAGTCCCTGTGGTTATAATCTACAAAATCTACAGAAAGTTGTTTAACTTCAAAACTCAACTTTTGTTTACCATTTCCTCCAGGACAGAAACCACAGTCTAATTTATGGCAATAGGAGGAGCTAAATTCTGCCCCGACCACATATCCCATCAGGAGTATTAGGGCAGATGAGGGATTATGGGATAATCCAGGGTATGCCCGAGTCACCCCATGTTGAGAGGTGTTGGGTCTATTCTTGGGATTATGGTGGGTTTTTTCTTTAGGAAAGGAAATTACTAAAGTTAATATAAAGTCCAAAAAAAAAATACATAGTCAAAATTTCATTAGTTAACAAAATATAATAAAATATTAAGGGAAAACAAGGGTCTGCCATAGAATTTAGTTAAAGAAGTTTAAATAGCTAAGAGACTTAAGGATTAGCCTAGAAATTAGCCTCAGAAGTTAGCACAAAAATAACATTATCAGGGCCTGAAGGTTAACCAACAATGAAAAAAGATGAAATAAATAAAAGTCTTCTGTAATTTAATGTTACCAAAAGCTAGAATTTAGCCATTCATAACAATATAGGAATCAAGTCGAAAATACCAGAAATTTGGCCAGGAAAGGACATAAAGACAGCAAAAATAAACAATCCTCTAAACTCAAGCCAGAAATATATAATAGTTTGCTCCAAATGTGGGAATGCAGTGAGAGACAGTCATCAGACATCAGAAGAGTGTGAGAGTGTCTCCCCCTGACTCCCCCCAGTCTGTGGTCAGAGGGTCTTAAACAGGATTAAGAAGACAACAGCAGTCCTCTGTGAGATCACGGCCTCATGTCTGTGTTTTCCTGTAATACACTGTACGTTATTAATTAGACTGAGGTTTGTTTTGTTCAACCTCTGTATATCAAGTCATGTTTTTCTCCTTTTCATGTCTGGGAGTGCAGTCAGAGGGCAATATGGGTTCAATCATGAACAAGGTTTCGCAGCTTTACAAAGCCCTTCATAAGAGCAGGTCTCGTCAGCCTGGGGTTAGTCATCACACCTCACTAAAGTGGTCCCTGGTGTCCCTCTGTGAACCAGGACATGGCTCTGCTCAGAGCTGGTATGTGGCTCCCAGATGCCCTCCTCATTATGGACAATAAAAAGCAGTTAATGGGGGGAAGTGGAGCAGAGAGTGGCCCAGGACTGCGGTCAGTAGCAAATTAGGAGCACTGCTTTGGACCTGACTCAATCTGAGGGTCCTGAACCACAGCAGGTCGTTAATGAAACCAGACGGGGCCTGAAGTGTGCGTGGGAAGTGGTCCGATACTGGGCTGTGGCAGTGGATTAGATCTTAAAGAGGAGCAGAAGTTTACTTCCAGAAGTGCTGTAAGCTATCGACATATTTAATAACTGCTGAGCTCCTTTAATAAACTGTCATTTAATTCACTAATCAAACAAAATAGATGGATTACAAAAATCTGAAACGAATCTTTGTGTATTTCTGGGTTGAACTGATTTTAGATTTTCTATTATTATTATTATTGTTATCTTTTGAAACAAAAAAAATGTTATGCTATAAGCTTAATTTTTTTTGGCATATTTCAAATATCTTTTCTTTGTAAATTCTGTTGTTCAGCGAGAACTTTTAGGCCTATTCAATGCTAATTTCTGCCCCTCCTGCACACACCCTGGCAGACTGCTTGTGAGAAACAGCAGCAGTTTTGTTATCTGAAAACTGTCATATCGCTTCCTATCGGCCTGAACATTCTTTAGCCTGTTTATAAACACTGGATGCTGCTGAATGAGGCCTGAAGCTGGGCTTTTAAAGAAACCACAGGCCACTGCTTTTCAGCCAGACGTAAAAAAAAAACAACAAAAAACCAGTGCAGTTCAAGGTCCAGCGTTTTCATGGATAAGGAGCAGACGTTGGTCTGTTTCACAGAGGGGTGACCGCGTTGCTAAATTTAGAAGGTTCCAGTTCAGTGGACTCTGGGAATCTGTAAAACCTCCAAAACGCACACTGTCCAAAAATGCAGTTGGGTAAATTTACAGATAAACACAGAGTTTGGATCAGAAAAGAACAACACTTCATCTCACCTCTCACAGAGTAAACTGTAAACGCCAACACTGTTCTCTCCCAACAGCCCCTCAAAGTCTAATGTAGTCTTGTCAACAACTGGAGGGTCTTCTGTACATTGATGGAACCCGCTTTTTATTAAAACTGTGATATTAGCTTGTTTGAATGTGTATATATACAGTAAATGTCTCATACTCTGAGCTGTTTCTGTTTATTATCATCAGGTCTTGAAAAGTTTTCTTCTGTTTCACAGACAAGTGACCACCACTGGATTGGATGGTTCCAGATCGTCACCACACCGCACTGTGCAGCTGCACTTATTTTTGAGCAGATGTCAACAAAGCCAGAAACCCTAAAAAGAGCGAGCCAGCAGACCTGACCAGTCTATAACGGACTTGACCAGGGTCCAGCAGACCTGTGCTGCCTCCAGGACCAACCAAACCTCTCAGTTTTATGGCTTCTTCATTCACTCAGCCATGCAGAACAGGCAACCACTAAGAGTGGGAGAAGGTTTGAAATCACACGTGATAAACACAGATAAAAGTTGAGTCGGCCACTTCAGGGTGCAAGAGGTCAAGACCCGTTGATTGAATCACCTCCCCAACTGTAGCTCTCAGGTCACTGCTGTCCACGGCCAAGCCAGTGAAAGAGTGAAAGCTCAAATCTGAGAAGAGGAAACTACAGCTTGTTTGATCTTCGTCCATTTTGTTTTGGTCATGAATCTCCAGGAAAAGCTCTCGGGCCTCAAAGGCCTGGTCTCACACTCTCACAGCAAGCGCCGATTCAAATCTGACCTCACTGTGGACATGATCAGCCCACCTCTGGGCGATTTCCGCCACACAATGCATGTGGGTCGTGGCGGCGACGTGTTTGGCGACACCTCCTTCCTCAGCAATCATGGTGGCTCAGCCAACGGGAACAACAGGGACACGGATTCTATCTCCAGCCCGGACAACAAGATTGGAGCCTTCTTCTCCAGGACTCTGCGACAGATCAGGAGGGGTTCCTCCGACCCCAGGCCCCGAGGAGGATCCAAGGACCTTTCTCCGCCGCCTCCTCCCGTTTCTCCCATTATCAAGAACGCCATCTCCTTACCGAGGCTAGATGTCGACATGTCCAATGGAGGTCCTACCACAAAGATGCTGTTCTCCAGTTGTCACAGTACACCAGAGGAGAAGAAGAGCTCCTACGGTGAGTGCCGTCAAAGTCTGTCTGTGTCTTTAGGACAGTCGTGTCATCCTCACTGAAGGTAAACTTATGCTTTCACCAGTGCTAGCATTTGCTTGCGCTGTATTTAGATAGTTCTGACAGATTTGATACATTTCTGGAACAAATTGTTCAATAGTTGACTTGTTAGCTGAACTAGCTAGCTTGTTAGCTATGTGGAAGGTGTCTTAGTTATCTGTAGCTAATTTTATAAATATTTATTGGCTTTTGAACAAGTGTAAACAATGTTTTGGGTAGTTTTGGTGATTTGTTATATAGATTATATAGATTTGTAATATGGTTTTAGCATTTTTGCTATATTTGTGATTTTGTGTGAATTTTCAGCACATCCTTTTGTCATCCAACTTCTGGTCTCGTCCCACATCATAAAACCAGTGTTGGTTGGTTATAATCTTAGTTGGTGTTGCTGCACCAGAACAAACTCATTCATTACTTCTCTGCCCAGTTAAGTGGAGACAGACTTGGATCAGACTGTCATGAATCACCACGGCTGATAACACACACACATCCAGACAAGTGACAACAACACTGTCTGAAACACAGTAACCATACACTGTGTATATGTATATACATCAGTGTATATGTATACGCATGTGTCTGTGGGTCTGTAGCTGTCTGTAGATGTGGGACTTGATCCTCAGGGTCAGTGAGGTTGAAGGTCAGGGTAAGTGAGTTCAGACCATGAGCCAAGTTTTTACTTTACTTTTAAAATGGACTTAAATATGTTTTTTTTTTTTTTTTTTTTTTTTTTGTAAAATTCAAGTATTTCTCTTTTAACCTTAAGCTATTTTGACAATATTTAATAATGTATGCTAAATGGGTTTTGTATTGATATTTTATATAAGAAAATGTTATTAATTTTAGATGTATGAAATTTCAAATGCAAGTCTAATTTAAAGCTGTTTCTTCAGTATCTTATTTATTTTAGGCCATTTTACATATTTGTGACATTTTCCTCACTCACTATGATTTTTTTTCAGTAAATATTAAACTACTCGAAAATCCTTTTATTTATCCCTCATACGGCAAATGTGTTTACACCGCCCTCTGTCTGATTGTAGTGCTACTGCGTGACTATTTCAGGTTTTTGATGAGAGATGTCTAATTATATTATGCTTGAACTATTTAAATGGTCCATTTAAGAAGATTGGTTTAGACTGACACAGAACAGTCTTTATAGATTTCTGCTTCCTGTCAAGGTTTTTGTCACGCTTGTTTTGATTTAATTGTAATTTCTCAAATGACATTTATTTATATCTGCAGGTTTGAAACAGCAGTGCTAAATTGTTTTTTGGAAATGAACAGAGTTGAATTTTCAGCGAGACCCTGCCTCATTACAAACGTCTCATGTAATTTACAGTCATTAAAGCGATGGTAGGCAGATTTCCCCTGGACACGGCCAGAAACTGGTTTCTTAAGACTAAGACAGAGCCAATTGTGCATAGTTTGAGCTGTATTTGTTTTATTGTTGTTGGACCTTTCTATTTCTGTGGCCAACTTTAACCTAATAATGTTTTTACTTTGTAGTGTATAGTTTATCTGTTTTTCATTTATGCAACATTTTATCCCACTAACATATTTCTGTTTTAATTTTAGACTATTTCCTTGATTGGCATTTAGGTTTTTAAATTGTTTAAATTGACTTTTACTGTTTATATTTTTTTAATCAATGTCATATGAATTGTAGCCATTTTTTAACGTAACCATTTTCTCTTTTGTACAGTTTAGCCTTTTAGTTTTTTCTCAATATTATTGTAAAATTGTAAATTTCTTTCTGACTGGGTAAACTTTACTCCTTTACAGCAAAAACTCCCTTAAAAAATCCAACCTAAAGTTAACTTTAGACAAAATAAGTCTAATGGTTTTGAAAAGAATTTTCAAATGATGTTTTGTGTGTTTTCCTCAGGTCTGGACTCTGGTTTCGTCACCCTGCCTCGTCTCTCCCGCGCTGAGCGTCAGCAGCCATCTATCTCCCTCCCCACTTCCCACCCCACCAACATTCACCGCGGGTCCCTGACCGACCCCACTGACCCCATCCTGTCCACCACCACGGTGTTGCTGACCTCTGAGTGCAAAGCCACCACTGCTTACTCCGACTCACTGCCCTCCCTCGCCTCCCTGGACGCCTTTACCTTCGACCTGGGCCCCTCCCTCATGAGTGAAGTGTTCGGCTTAATTGACGGAAACTCAGAGGAGCCTGGTCATCTCTGGGAGAGAGAGGAGGCCGGGTCAGCATGTGGGTTGACCAACGACGGCTCAGAGATGGACTCTGCCACCATCTCCTACGTGGATT